GAGCCCGACTACCACCATGAGCCCGACTGCCACCATGAGCCCCACCACTGCCACGAGCCCGACTACTGCCACGAGCCCGACTACTGCCACGAGCCCGACTACTGCCACGAGCCCGAAAACTACCACCATGAGCCCGGCTAGCACCATGAGCCCGACTACCACCATGAGCCCGAAAACTACCGCCATGAGCCCGAAAACTACCGCCATGAGCCCGGCTATCACCGTGAGCCCGACTACCACCATGATCCCGAATACCGTCATGAACCCGAAGACTACCACGAGCCCCACTGCTGCCATGAGCCCGACTACTACCACGAGCCCGACTGCTACCACGAGCCCGACTATGACCATGAGCCCGACTACCATGAGTCCGGAGATGAGCAGAGTCGCGTTGGACGGGCTCCGACCCGAACGGTCTAGATGCGTTGAAATATTGAACTCACTGAAGACCGCGGCCAGCAACTGGCCTATGGACGTAGAGGCTGGGCCCTACCCGTGTGATGGCGGCAGTGGGCAACTGCTGTGTGCAACACGTGAGGGTCAGACGTGCCACCGTTTTGGCGGTCCATGGAAGTATGGAGCCTTTGCGGTGAGGGAGGCGATTGAACATCATTTAGGCAACGGTTCAAATTGCATCCCGCACTGCGACGGTAAAGCTGAGGCGATACGCCATGTCTGGGAGGAGACCCAAAGAAACCTACTGTCGATTCCTCCGTGCCCCACACCGGGATTCCTAGATTTCACGATACGCCCCTCAGTTCCAGATCTGAATGACTTCGAGGCAATGATGCGCTCGCGCTATCCTATCGTGGAGGAGTGCTCGGGTGTGTGTGGCGAGTGTCTTGAAGATACCCACACGAGGAAGTGTTCTTGTAGTTTTGTATATGCCAAGTGCCGCATCCAAGCTAAGGGTGAGAAGCGGCCACAGGTCATTGAGTTAATGGATTACAACACTCAGCCAGGAGAGCTGTTTAAACACTTGTCTCCGTTCAACAATAAGCTTGGCCTCTATGATATTTTGGGTTGTCGTTATGAATGCCGTCAACCGGGCCCGGATATTAAGGCAATTTCTGCCACAGGCGTGGACGTACGCATCGTGGAGACGGAGCCAACAGGGGATGATAGCCCGCTGAATTCGAGGCTGAGCAGACGCGAGTTGAGCAGCCTTCAGCTGCCTATAGAACTGTGTCGGGCATATCCTGAGGGCGGCTGGCGGCAATTGGCAGAGATTGGCCGATGTCCATGCGATGGAGGAAGTGGAGTAATGATGTGTAAAACGACAAAGCACGATTGCAGGGCACGGTCGAGCTGCGGAAAAGACCTAGCTGTTTCATGTCATCATTTTGGTCCGGTGTGGATGGACGTCTTCGCAGTGGAGGATGCGGTTAAACATCACATAGACAGAATTAAGGACTGTGTTGTAAGATGTGATGATGAAGATACAATGAGACATCACTTCTGGGAGGAAGCCAACTATGCTTTATGGAACGCACCCGGATATCAACGCCAAACTTCCTTAACATCGAGTTCCCCAAAATTATTACCGAAATGGTATCCTGCCGAACGAAGTTGTTCATCAACCTGCAACTCCGACCGACAGTCTTGTACCAATGTCCCTGACTGTATGTGTCGCGTAGCGCACGTCAAATGCGAGACCAACTTCAAAAACGGACATGGTGAGCAAGAACTTGAATCATGGGGATTTAATACACGAATGCAAAATGTGTTAGGGATGCTATCTGTCCCAGGTGCTAACGCTAAAACCACACATCCTCAAACCTATTATATCAATACAAGGAATTGTAATGCCACTTGTCATGGCATCATGCAGTCACCAAAATAGTTCCAGATTGTGTTTCGGTTTTTTTACACAAGACAGCTGATCATAAGAGAGCCGTCAGGGAGCCGCCAGGGTACGAGGCAATCCGTTTACGTCTTTGCCAGTGAGATGGAATGAACAGTCGAACAAGGCGTTTTACGTAATGCCCCAAAAAATTTGGACCGCAGAAATTCAGTGGAAAATGAGGACCGTATCATGCAGCGTCTCAAAGAAAGCGGACCGGTTGGGAGTGCTGGCGTGGTTAGGTTAATGAATTCGCATGGGATACGTCCACCCGTTGATGGTTATGTTGTGAGGATGTTGACATTAGGTGACCGAACCGGAAAGGCTGGGGTTCAATTCCTGGCTGCGGCGCCAAAGGAAGCCATGAAGAAGTTCGTCGACCTGCATCACATCGTCGCCTCGCTTTCGTCTCCGTCGATCACCTCGCTTCTGTCTCCGTCGATCGTCTGCCTCAATCTCCTCGTTAATGAACTTCTGCGCCGCTCGCAGGTAGTCACGCCTCCATCGGTCGCCTCCATCGGTCACCTCTCACTTGGGACGTCGTCCGTCCCCTACTCAGCTCCACGAACGCCCTCAAAGCAGCGTCCTGGTCAGTCAGACAGGTCCCATCACACATAATGCTCCAGTGACCTTTCTGACCACAATTGAAACACTTGTCGTCCTGGCTCGGACAAGCTTTCTTCTGATGGCCGCTACGGCCACAACCCCCACATCTCCTCGCACCGTCATTACCATTACCGAAACGACTCCGAACCGCGTCGGACCGCTCCGCAGGCCATTTCATGGCTGCCAGCACAGGGGGGGGGTCCACGCTCGCTTAACGGCGACAACTTCTGTAACGCCTCGAGAACTGACCTCCGCCAGGACTTCAGAGTCGCTGCCAGAATGCAATCCTTCAACATGACCGCCGGCTGTCGTTCCCCTGCGAGCTGCCAGACGAACAAATCGCCCTCTGTCGCGTCCACCCAATCCTCAAACTCCTCTTCAGTCACAGCGCAGGGAACTTGGTCTTGTAGAAGTGCTCCCTCCACTCCCTTCGCTCTCTCGAGCCCGTCCTACCTACCGACCGCGAAAACTTTGGTACATACCGGTAGCCGATCCATCAGTCCAGCAGCTGTCGCCAATGTGCTGTCTTCGTGGTGGACGCTGACTATCCGGTCCCGCTCGTCGGAGATGCTCCCGTCGAAGACGCTCGAGCTGCTTGTGTTGTAGTTGGCGGTAGTGTCGTGTTGTGTTTGTTCCTTTAAAAATCCTGCCCTGGGTGCGATCTAACGAGGCGAGCCGTTTACGTCTTTGTCGGCTCACTCAGCGAGACGGCGGCAGGTAAGATGAACAAGGCGTAAGAAAGCCTTTTATGATCCGGCTCAGGGCGTTGTAATGCCCCAAAAAATTTGGGCCGCAGAAATTCAGTGGAAAATGAGGACCGTATCATGCAGCGTATCAAAGAAAGCGGACCGGTTGGGAGTGCGGGCGTGGTTAATGAATTCGCATGGGATACGTCCACCCGTTGATGGTTGTGTTGTGAGGATGTTGACATTAGGTGACCGAACCGGAAAGGCTGGGGTTCAATTCCTGGCTGCGGCGCCAAAGGAAGCCATGAAGAAGTTCGTTGAAGCAGCCAAGGAGGATGCCACTCTCGCTGAGGAGGTAATAGCCTTAAATGAAGACAGGAACTTTTACTGGCTAGAGATGTGTTCCAGAATTTTCATGTACAGCCCGTATGGTCCGATTAATACGCTGGGAGAAGCCCTAGCTATGCGGGATCTCAGACAGTATTTCGAAGCAATAGACCCAGACGGTGAGTTCTCCCACGTTTCAGATCAGATTTGCAGTGATAGCGTGGGTCGACCGATGTCCGAGTTGGAAAGGGCACTGACCAATGTAAGCGACTGCGATGATGAGACATTCGTGATGACAGCCTCGCTGAAGGTCATAGACTGCAGACGTTTGACACCTGAGGAGGTGGTGGACGCCCGCAGTAGTCTACCGGAAGAGTGGCTGCCGCTGCTGGCGGAAACAACCCGGGACAGCGATGTCGAGTGCGGCCTGAGTTGGGGGTCCACTCGATATATCCCGAGCCGATGCTGCCTGATTGCTTCTGCTATTTCTGCCGGTGCTGTTGTAGTTGGTGGGGCATTTGCAGGGCTGATTTATGCTTTGCTGACTCACGGTAACTCACCCGCGGTTAGTCTGTTGACGTCTGATCGGCTCCAAGAGAGCACCGTGAAACGAATGTTCGATACCAATTCAACCGCAAGTTATAACACGTCCAATGTGACAGACGCCTTCACCGACTTTGTCGCGACCGTCGCTATGAACGTGACAAACGGAACTTTGTTGAATATTATCCGCGTGGCCCCGATAGCGACAACCACAGTATATCCTACAGGATCTTCGAGTCGGTTCAATACCACGACGATGACAGAAACTTTGTTGAATACTACCGACGTGACTCCGACAGAACTTAGCACAACTACCACCACTGCATATCCAACTCGTTTCGGGACCTGGATGACTGAGTCCAAGTTGAACGAGCTCCAAACCGTAGAGTCAACATGCCAGAAGCTATTCAACTCCTTAGGGTATAAGACACGCAGCTTGCCCGTTATGGACGCAGATGCAGGTCGATATCCATGTGGTGGTGGCAGTGGGCAGTTGCTATGTGCAACGCCTCAGAACAACGCCGTAGGAACGTGTTATCATTTTGGCGGTCCGTGGACGTATGAAGCGTTTGCGGTAAAGGAGGCGATTGGACATTATCTACAAGACGGCAGGGAATGCGTTGTTCGATGTGATGGTGAAGAGGAGGCCTTACGTAATTTGTGGGAGGTGACCCAAAAAAGTTTATTGTCGATTTCACCCTATCCTGGTCGGGGGTTCCTAAAATTCACGAACAGAGTCTCAGTTCCCAACCTGAATGACTTCGAAGCGATGATGCGCCCGCGTTATCCTGTGGAAGAAAACTGCTCCGGATCGTGTGTCGATTGTGTTGAGGATACTGGCACCAGGAAGTGTTCCTGTAACTTTGCGCGAGTCAAGTGTCAAGTCCGAACCAAGGCTGAGCAGCAGGAGAACAAAATTGAGCTAGTTGCTTATAATGAGGACCCGAGGTTCCTGTTTGGTTTGTTGTCTCCCTTCAGCAAGAAGAAAGACGTCTATCAGGTAGTGGGTTGTGACTACGAATGCCGTAAGGCAAGCCCGGATGTTGCCGTACCCGCCAGCGTACGTTTCCTGGAGACGGAGCCGGCAGGTGATGGTAGTCCGCTGAAGTTGAGGCTGAGCAGACGCGAGTTGAGCAAACTTCAGCTCCCTCTGGCACAGTGCGAGGGCTATGATACAGACGACTGGCACCCATTGGAAGAGATTGGCCGATATCCATGTTGGGGGGGAAGTGGAGTAATGATGTGTAAAGTACCAAAGATTAATGATCGATGTTCCAAATGGTGGCCTTTTGCGTGCAAAAAATATCTACCCGTCTCTTGTCATCGTTTTGGTCCTGTATGGATAGACGTCTTCGCAGTGGAGAATACGGTCAGATATCATTCAGGCGAAATTGGCGATTGTTTTGTCAAGTGTGATGACAAAGATGTAGCGATGCGTCACTTATGGAAGGAAGCTAATGATAGCCTACAAAATGCCTCTAGGTACGAACCCCAGCCGATTTCTTCAACTGAGAATTTGGAATTGCAGTTGCAGAAATGGTATCCTGCCGAACGAAGTTGTTCATCAACCTGTGGTTCCGACCTACAGTCATGCACCAATATTCGTAACTGTGTTTGTCGAGCTGCACACGTCAAATGCCGGACCGAGCTCAAAGATGGCAAAGACCAACAAGTGGTTGAGTCATGGGGCTTTAACACACGAATTAATGATGTGTTGGGAATGATGTCTATCCCAGGTGCTAACGGCAAGATCAATCACACTAAAACCGAGGATACTAGAACTCACAAATGTCATGTCTTCTGTCATGAGATTCTGTGGTCACCAACACCTCCGACGCAGGTCCTGAGGTGGAACAAAGCAACTTGATCTCTTGAGCCCGAATAGTTCCCCAGAGACAGTGAAGTGACGGGCCACCCGTTCATCAACGGATATCCGAGGCCGCTGCAAGGCCGGTCGCTGGGAGGCCGGTCGCTGCGAAGCCGGTCACTGCGAGCCCGGCCGCTGCAAGGCCGGTCGCTGCGAGGCCGGTCACGAGGCCGGTCGCTGCGAAGCCGGTCGCTGCGAGGTGTTTTGTAAAAGAATATAACTTGAAAGTGAAAACAGAAACGACTTTTTTATGAGGATGCTGCCAGAACGTACCACAGAAAAGACAACTCGAACGACGGCTACAGGGCCCACTAAGGGAGGAAGGGGGGGGGGGAAGGGGCGTAGTACGTTGGGATTCGAGGGCCCATATTATGACGAGATTTGATGTTTCTGATAGCCTTTGATCAATTTGAGATGGGAAGACAAAAAAGGACTGGAATGGATACAATACTCAGGCAGCAAGGCCTGGCTGGGTCCAAGAAGCAAGCACTGGCATGCCGTCAACAGAGATCGCCGTCAACAAATGAGTGGCAAAGCGCGTCCGGCCGGCCAAAAGGAGAAATAATAACCAAGCGCCCGACTCACAAGGGAGTGAGGTGGTGTCCGACTCACAAGGGAGTGAGGTGGTGCCCGACTCACAAGGGAGTGAGGTGGTGTCCGACTCACAAGGGAGTGAGGTGGTGCCCCACTCACAAGGGAGTGAGGTGGTGCCCGACTCACAAGGGAGTGAGGTGGTGTCCGACTCACAAGGGAGTGAGGTGGTGTCCCACTCACAAGGGAGGTGGTGTAAATACCGAGCCTGTCGAAAACCAAACCAGCCAAGTGGGCATGACACGGTGCAGCGCTTATGAGGTCCGAAGCCAATGAGTCACCCTTCGGATACTTAACTTCGGGCCTTTGTGCGGTTGGCTTGAATGACGATGATGAGCGAGAGAACTGAAGATTGAAGGCGAGTGGAACCCCAAGAAAAGGATGAAAACTTACTTGGCGTAATCTTTGCTGTGTGGCCGTTGGGTCGTCAGGGAGAGGCTTCCTCACGCGCATGTCTGAGTAGTTACACGACTCAACCACCCCGGTTTTTTTTCGGCTTACGCCCACGGCACCAGGGCAAAGTGGAACCTTGCTTCGTTGGTATCTTCACCGGCGTCTGCGTCTGCGTCTGGGGATGTTCTTTCTCGTCCCGCAGGGGTCCGAGGGGGCAGCGGGGACTCGTGGACTAGGTCTTTGTGCTAGATGGATTGGGCGACGACTTCGTGTCCCTCGATGTCGGTGACTCGGCAGGGTTTGGACCAGTTCGGGACGAGTTTAGAGGAGCCGAATCGTTCTTGGAGCGTTGCTAAGAGTTTGCCTCGTAGCAGCATGACGACGGTGTCGCCCACTAGGTCAGCCCCGGTGACGATGGTTGTAGGGTGCGGGGTGGAACGGTATGCCATCATGGCGGAGGCGACGATCTCGGGGAAGCTCCAGTTGGTCGTCGACGTGAAGGAGCTGATGGAGCGGTTGAGATATTGGTGGAAGGCTTCGACGACGCCGTTCCCTTGTGGGTAGTACGCCGAGCAGAACCGACAGTTGATGCCTAGCCCTTGGCATCGTTCCTGGAACTCAGTGGCTCGGAAGGCGTTGTCGCTTAGCAGATTTCGGGGTGTCCCGAGTATGCTGAGCCAGTTGCAGAAGAACGCTTCCCAGCGATCTACGGCTCGGACGGCGTTGAGGGGGACCGCGATCGCGAACTTGCTGAGGTGGTCGATGCATGTGAAGAGGTAGTATTGTCGCTTTT